AGGGCGGCGTTGTTCCTTTTCCCTATAACAGCACAGGACCTTATTCAATGCAGCAATGGGAACACAAATGACCTTGTAGCCCTAAATTATCAGAATTGACATGGAGATGATGATTATTTGTTGAAGTTCCCTGAATAGGAAGGCCATAAATCATTGGCCAACTAGCCCCCTGATTATTTTAATCCAGCCACTCCCACGGATTAAGTTTTTGGAGAGGTTTCAATCCTTACTTCAGCACACAAGTGTCCTTGAGTCTCTTGCTTGGAATGCATGAAGGTTTTTTCTTGTAAAGCAAGCAAAAGTTTAACACGGGGAGGAAATCTCCCAGCAGTTTTACAAGGTTTTTGCATAGGGGCTGAGGAAAGGTCTGCCTGCTCTGGATTAGATGGCTGTTGCTAAAGGGGAAGAATGCCATAGGTGTCAATCTTGCGTTCACCTTGACCTTAGAAACCTTTTAAAACTCCATCGTCACAGAAGAAATGACTGAACTGTTGGGTTTAAAGGTCGGACATTTTCATTCAAACGTGACAGCGTCCTCGCTCGTGTTTCAGTGGTAGGTCTGTGTTTGTGGGACACAGAGCCGATTGATTACCCAGTGATAAGTGCAAGTGTCAGCTGTGTCATGAAGACCTGTTGCTTGCTGTAGAAACCTGTCAGCGGTGCTCATGGTGGAGGGGGGGGGGGGGGGTCGTGTGTTTACCAAGAGGTCGTAAAAGACAGTCTCGACCGTTAGAGCTTGGGGCAATTCATCCTGCTGAGTGACCACAGAGGCCGTCCTACATCTACACTCAGCAGGGGCCCAGACAAACCCTGGACACAACCTTTTCACCCGTCTCCATTTTTATGGTTTCACCAACGTCACTTGCCAGCGAGAGAATATTGAACAGCATCTCTCACATTTACAGTGTGTGAAAGGACGGTAGCTGTTGAAGTTATTGCTTGGGAGAGAGGTTATGTGAAGTCACATGTGGCTCCTCCTGTTACTTTTTAATGTGATTCTTACAGCTGGGCGGCCATGGCCAGCTCACACAGCTTTCACATTCAACACGTCTATAACCATATCTTGAAGGAATCTGCAACGTGAACAGCGACATACTGTATAAAGGGGACTAACTATCATATATCATATATCGCTGGCTTCACTTCTGCACCGTATGTGAAGCAGAGCTGCAACGATTAGTCGATTGATCAATTATTTATATTAATATTATCACTCAACCCAATTTTCAGCAAATTTTTGATGGTTCCAGGTTCACAAATGTGAGAATTTGCTGCTTTTCTTGGTCTTACATTAAAGCAAATTGAATATTTTATCCTCTGGATTCTGTGGATCTGACACAAGTAGACAAATTAATTATTTAATCGATTAACATAAAATTGACAAGTTTGATAATCAGTTAATAGTTTCAGTCATTTTTTGAGCAATCACTTCAAATGTGAGAATTATTTTCTTTTATTTGCCTAACGTCATAGTAGAATTGTTATCTTACTGACTTTTGTATTTGTCTTTCTTATTCTCTCATTAGGCCTCGGATGATACACACATCATGTTCATAAACACCATACACAACAACGATTCAGAGGTTATAACGAGAAACTACATCAACATAACGTTTGTGTGCCGCTACCCCATCAACTACATGGTCCAGCAGCCCAACGGGGAGAACATGATCAGAGTGGACGTCAGGTACGTGTGTTTTTTTGTTTTGTTTCAATGACTCCTGATCTGAACTGTAGCATTATTTGTTTTTAACATGTGGCTGTTTTGATCTTATTAAACTCCACAGAACGATAACTCTGAACACAGAGGACGGGAACTTCTCAGTGTCAATGCTGTTGTACAAAGATGAAGCCTTTGAGGACCGATGGACCACTGTGCCATCACTGACACTGGATGATGACATCTTTGTGAAAGTTTTCATGGTAAATTGACTTGAGTCACGATGTCTATTACTGTTTTTAACTACAGAGGATTAAAGACTTCCGCTTAAAATAATTAAAATGCCTGTTTAAGAGATTGTGTGTGCTGAGCTTTGACTTTTAGAGGAAAACACTTAGAAGTGTTTGAAGTATTCTTACTATTGACAGCTATTTTTGGACTGGGTTAAGCATGTTGTTACGCGACGTTAAGCAACATGTTGTGTGGCGGGATGTTCCAAGCAATGCTGGAAATCTAACACTCCACCCGTGACCAGATAGTCATTTGAGTGCTGCTCTTCTTCTCCACCGTGTTGTTATAACCTCCTACTACAGCTGTTGTTTACTATGAATCAGCATTTCATGGCCTGTCTGCCCCACAGATACCGGCTCACCTGATGCTGCGTATGGAGAGATGCTGGGCTACACCAACCAGTGATCCATACAGCAATATACAGTACACCTTCATCAGAGACAGGTTTGCATTGGCACTGTTTGAACAAAAGCAATTTGTGTGTGTACGTGTGTATGTGTGTGTGTGTGTGTGTGTGTGTGTGTGTGTGTGTGTAATATGATCCAACAGGGGAGGAAAAAAAATTATAATCAAGATACACTTTGGCAAAGCTTATCCTTTTCCATTTACCATCTTGCAGCTGAAAAACAAAGAATAAGCAGGTTCAGATTTACATATTAACACAAGATACTTTAACGACGGTGTGTTGAAACCTGCTTAGGGCTTGCACTGTGGCTGTGTTGTTTCACCACATTTGCTAACAGCTCTTAAGTCCTCTTGCGTGAGTGCTGTTGAAATCTGAAATAAGAGATTTTGTTGCTTAGAGAGCTGGCCAGACAACAACTCTCAGAGCCTGGTCATGTGACCCCCTGACTGAGAGGCCACATGCGTTTCAGTTCAACAGCTGTGCACGTCCTTGACAACCAGGCAGTATTTGGTACTGTTAGCAACAGCGGGAGCAATGAAATGCACAATGATTTCACAATGCAAGGAGGGGAAAAGAAAATACTCCAAAAAATCTGTCTCTCAATGGTGTTGAATCGCTTCAGATCATGTTTTGATTATCTTATAGCTTTGCAGTTCACCATGAGTTACAATCTGTTCCTTCTCTCTTTTTTAAAGTACAGTATTTCATTCTAGATATAAATCTCACTGCCACCTGGCCTCCCTGACTTCTCTGTCTCCCTCCCCAGCTGCCCGGTGTTGTCAAACGAACAGACCCTGAGTGTCCTGAAGAATGGCCAGGGTCCAGAGGCCATGTTCAGGATACAAATGTTTAAGTTTGTCGGCGGCTCTTACACTAATGTCTTCCTCCACTGCAACGTCCAGATCTGCCACAACACCCCAGGGCTGTGCCAGCCTGTGAGTGAGCTCATGCAGCACCCATTCCTCAGACTGGGAGTCAGAAGCCAGTTCAGACAAGTAGCTATATGTGCAGCTTATGTCCTTAATATAGACCTATCAGACTGGAATTTATTTTTCAGCTACATGAGCTGCCAGTTAAGCTGCCCTGATTTTAAATATGCACTGCTTGACACTGAAGCTTATAGCATCTCTGTTCTTTTCACATTTTACACATGTATTTCCAAACAGAACTGCTCTGGTGAAGAAGGATTAATGAGGATGCGGAGAGACATCCCGCTGTCCCATACAGTGTCTTATGGACCAATCAGACGACTACTAAACGATAGTGAAAAGCCCAATCTGAGTATGTCTTTACCTTTTATATCATCTCTGTAATATATATGGGTTTAACAGCTTCAGCTTTTGGTTCTTCAGAGCTTATAGATTCTAGACACTGATAGCAATTTGTATGCAAAGTGTGGTTACACCGGTTAAATGTTCTTTGTACATGCAGGCGGAGTCCCCCCTGTGGAGACTTTTGTCCTTGGAGGGCTGCTGGTCGTCCTGCTGCTGATCACAGGGGTGTTTGGGAGACTGTGGCTCCGCTCCAGACGTTTCTACCCAGCCCGAGAGGCGCAGCTCACTCTGTCCAACATTCACCACATCTCAGAGGTGGCCTCATGAATCAGGGGGGCTGCAGCTTTTCCGAGCAGACGAATGGACAAACAAACACATACACATGTACAAATACAAACACACATGCACAGGTGTGATTTATGATAAGAATGAAAGTTTTGCAAATGTTCCTCTTTATAAAATGAAGTTGTTCATTTGTAGGAAATTGACTCAATAAAAGTCTCCCTCAAGTGTTTTGTTTTTCTTCCCCATTGGTGAAACTAAAATACTGAAGTACTTGCACTTTATAGTAATTTATAGTGTGTTTTTCCACTTTTACTTAAGGTTGGTTTTACAAGGTTTTTTTTTTTAATATTTTCCCAATAGTCAAAAAAACTGTTCAGGAAAAGACGTAGAGCAACAGTGTGTTAGTCTGTTACTCAATACTTTCTGACCACCCTGCCCTGTCTTTAGACCTCAGCCCCAAGCCCGTTGGGAAGAAACACCAGTCATCCAGTGCAATGGTGTGGCATTTTCGAGTTTTTAATACTTTTGGCAACAGTGGAGGTCTGTGGCGCAGCAGAATAAGATATATCAGTCTTTGGCTACACAGGCAAGTTATGAGGATCAATTCATCGTTACTTTTGGTCTGACCCAGTGAAAGTGGGGATAATAATAGAGCATCCACTTTTATGCAGATTTGGACAGGCACAGAAATAGAGCATATAGGGAAATTAATCAAATATCAAATGGTACGTCATAAGGTGGGAGTATAAGAGGATGATTAGGTTAATATTAAAAGGGAAAAAAAAGATTGTAAATAGCCTTAGTGTTTTTTTTATAATATACTAATAATAATTTGAATTGCCTGATCAAGTCTACACGCATTCAAATGCAAGAACACCACGGACATTTAACGACTGCTAACATGTAAAACTTGTCCTCAGGGTATTCCCCTCTCTGTCTATTTCTGTGCTCCCTCACACAGATTTGCGTCCATAAACTTAAGTATGACTGCCCGTTTTACGTGATGACGTTGCACTGCGGCGTACCGCACCACGATCAACACAAACGCCGACAGACTCAGAACAGCGAAGGTCTCACAGCCGAACAACCAGCTGCAGCCAGTTCATGTCATAAGAAGATTGGGACATATTTAATACTGTGAGATGATTGTGTGGCTGTAGTTCCGGTGTTGCTGATGTCGACGGAGCTGATATAAGTAAAGTGATATTAATAAAATACACCTGGAGAGCCCCGTAACTCGGGTAAGCAGTTTCTAGAAGCGATCAGCTAGCAAGGCTAAAGAAGTGTAGCTGCTAATGCTAACTGGCTGGCCATGTTGTTGATGTTCTTTTGTTTAACTTTACAAACTTTTGAGAATTATCAGTTCACCGTGTCTATAGTGCAATTATCATGAATATAACTTTTTATACATTAACAGACTATAGCAGTAATATTGGTTAATACTGTAATTGGTCAGAAATGTAATAACCGGCTGTTGCTGTGTTGTTTGTGTTTTTAGCTGTTTGCTAACCTGCCAGTTATGCTTGCGTAATTTAGCCACCTAGCTGCTGCTGGCAATGGCTGTAAAGGCTTGAACAATAGCTCTCCTGTGTGGCATTGCTGTTTGGACTTGCAGCATTGTTGTGGGTCTTTAAATTATTGTTTGGTGTCCTTTGAGCCAGTACTCATTATCCCTTCACACAAGCAACACTACCAACTAAGCCTGAGGCTAATGAATCAGAGGTATTTACCTCGTGGGTCAGTCGCGGTGGGGCAAAAAGTTTGAGTAACAAGCTGAAAACCTCAAAGGTTTGTCTGACTTGTCACCAAACTCCATGAATGAATAGCAGAGATCCTAAACCTGAGGTGTCAGGTTTTCCCCTGAGTCTTGGAAGAACTTGTCACCATGAAACCTAAGAAGGCTGTTTTGAAATATTACTGAACAGCCTAAATATTTAGTAAACATGCATTGATGAACATGAACATATGTGAGACTAAGTCACAGAATACTTTGAAGGCATAGGACCTCACTTGTGCAGTGTCTGGGTGTGTTGTGTTGTTCATTAAGGTCCAAGGGATAATGTAACACCAGCATGCTCTGTTACAGCTCATGGCTCCACGTGCTTACCTAAAAACATTGTTGTTATCATGACATGTTTGAGGTTTCTCAAGAGGTGTGAAACATAATATTTTGTTGACTTTGTTTCAGGGTTGAACACTTCACACCTTTTCCCCATTTGGACAAGGAGTAATAAAGTAAAAATGGAGAATCTGCACCCCCACTGCCTTAAATGCATCAACAGAAGATGCATGGTAAGACCAGAAACGGGTGTTTCCTGCGACCTCATCGGCTGCCCTCTTGTCTGCGGGGCAGTTTTTCACTCATGCAAACTAGAGGAGCATCGTCTACTGTGTCCGTATGAACGGCTGCCATGCTTAAACAGTGGGTTTGGCTGCCCCTTCACTATTGCAAGGATCAAGATGGCACAACATCTTGAGACTTGCCCAGCAAGTATAGTATGTTGTACTATGGAGTGGAACCGCTGGCCTGTGAGCTATGCTGATCGCAAGTCCTATGAAAACTTGAGCAAAGACTTTGATGAGGTGGAGCAGCTAGACATGGCCTTGGCCCTGCAGGATCAGAGGATGTTGTTAGAGTCCCTGAAGGTCACGACCACTGTGTCAAAGAATGGAGATAAAGAAGTCGATGAAAGTGACAAGATGGCCACAGCATCAAGTTTACCAGAGACAGTGTTAGGTAATGGATCAGTGGAAATGGAACAAGAGCCCTATACTGAGTTGTATAGTACCTCAGTCGAAACAAGCAGAAGTTTTGCTGCAGCCTTGGACATCCTCACTAATTCCAAGGATATTGATGTTATTGTAGGAAATCTAAATGGGGAAAAGACTGATAAGAATGGAGCACTCCACAATGGAGAAAATGGTGATAGTCATAATGTTTATGTCGCCGAAGGCGGGAAGAATGTAGATATGCAAGAGAGTGACTCTGATTCAGAGTGTGAACTTGGAGCAGTAGGTGGAGTGGATTGCGCAGTGGGAACAGATGGAGAAGAAGATGGTATTGGCTGGGCAGAGGAAAATGATTTTGTAGAGTTGTTTTTTGAAGAAAAGGAAGATATTATTGAGGAGCCAATAAATGATTCCAACCTTGTCTGGCCAGAGATGCCTCAGGATTACATGCCTGTTGTAGCTCTGGGGCCTCCTGTGCCTCAACAAGCACCACTTTCACCTCCAATGCCATTCCTGCTGTCTGATCATGTGAGAAACAACTTCTTGCAACACTTACCCTCTGAACTCAGGTATAGGTGCTTGGAGCGTAAACTACAGAATGTAGAAGTCCTTAGGGGTATAAGTATGTTTACATTTAATGGACGCAGGGCTCTGCTGTCAGACCCTTACTTATTTCGAGCAAAGATGGAGGACAAGGCAGTAGACACATCTGACCTGGAGGTAGCTGAAGACCCCATGGGCCTCCACGGCATCGATCTCATCACTGCAGCTTTGCTCTTCTGCCTTGGCGATTCTCCAGGAGGCAGAGGAATCTCAGACAGCAGATTTGTCGATGGCTACCACATTGACTTTGGTACTCAGACTTTCTCCTTCCCTTCAGCCATTCTTGCAACCAACACCATGGTGGGGGACATCGCATCAGCCTCAGCCTGTGATCATGCCAGCCCACAGCTTTCCAACCCCAGCCCCTTCCACACTCTCAGGCTGGACCTGGTGCTTGAATGTGTGGCCCGATACCAAACCAAACAGCGCTCCATGTTCACGTTTGTGTGTGGACAGCTGTTCCGGCGGGACGAGTTCTCGTCTCATTTCAAAAATGTTCACGGGGATATTCACGCTGGACTCAATGGCTGGATGGAGCAACGCTGCCCCTTGGCCTACTATGGCTGCACCTACTCCCAAAGACGATTCTGCCCATCTGTGCAGGGCTTCAGGATCATCCATGACAGGCACCTTGGCTCTTTTGGGGTTCAGCCTGGTCTACCTTTAAAAACTGGGGACAACCTCCCAAGAAACACCCGCCACTTTGGCTCTCAGTGCGATGGATTCAGCAGTCTCCCATTCGAGGTGTTGCAACATGTAGCAAGCTTCCTGGACAGCTTCAGCTTGTGCCAACTATCCAGAGTGTCCCGCACCATGAGGGATGTATGTGCCAGTCTGCTACAGATGCGTGGCATGGTCGTCCTGCTGTGGGAGAAGAAACGGCGTGCTGATGGATCTCCTTCATGGCAGATAACAGATAAGGTTAGTCTTTTTTAATTACTGTTTACATTCAATCCCAGTGTCACTTGTCTGCTGTGTAGAAACAAGGTATAATTAAGTGCACTACATGAAAAGTAATGAATCAATTCTGTTTGTCGTTCAGGTGTGGCGATTCAGCACAGCTTTCGGTACAGTGAATGAGTGGAAGTTTGCCAACATCGCCAGCATGGCCGACCACCTCAAGAAGTGCAAGTTCAATACGATAGCTCGTCGGGAGGAGGCCATCCCTCTGCCGTGCATGTGTTTCACCAGAGAGCTCACGAAAGAGGGGAGGTGTTTGCGTTCAGTTCTCAAACCAGTAGCATAAGCGATGAAGTCACCTTTTGGACATTTCTGAGACCATCAGAACTCAAATACACGTGTATTTTCCTCCAGTGTTTACAGACATTAGTCTCCTCCAGCCTAAAAAAAATAGAAAACTCCTGGTTGGATGTTATGAACTGTTGTTCTTTGCTTCACAGTGGAAAAAAAAAAAAACTTCTCTCCCATAAATAAGACAAAGCCAGTAGTGGTCTGATTCATACTCACAGATCGGGATTGTAACGAGCAAATTTAATTGCTAGCCTTGTATCCTGCACTCTGATGGATTTATTAATACCACTGTACTGAAGTTCTACCATTATCTACTCTGACATTGTGTAAATAATCAGATGTTTTGCTGTAGAATTTTTTTATTTTTATATCTAAAAGTCAGTACTGTGCTACATTGGAGGTAAGAGTAGAGCCTTAACTTGTGATACACTTGATTTTCTAGTCTTTAGGCTGTTCAGAAAGTCTCAGTGAGATTTTCTCAACTGCTTCTAGCTGGAACAGTTTACTGGTATCTTGCACGGTTTTATATCTTATCCTGATACCTAGAGTGACCACGTGTGTACTGCTTAGAGCTCATAGATTTCATGGCTTTAATTCTACACTTTAAGACTGACCAAACATCTGTGGAAGGTCTGCACAATGTACGCCATTGTACAGGATGATCGAACTGTATCACTGTGGGTGTTGCTTCTGTTCACCAGCATAAGCATGTCACCATTATCGTGTTTGGTGTTTTAATGTAGTGTGTTTTGCAGTTTGGCACATGGCGCTGATGTTATGGCGGTAACAAAGGTGGTCCATCTTCTTCTCTTCTTCTCTCACTTCTGACTAACGGGCTGGCGTGTTAGTCAGGATGAGATACAAGATAACACTATTCACCAGCCACATGGCAGTACATTTTTAGCTGTGGTTGACTTGTGGTTTGTCTTTTCTACCAGCTACTTTGATAAGTAACCAGCAATTGTGATCTATATCTAAATGTAGCAAGTGAAATAATGAATGTACTCAGTGAATATAAGAATCCATCAGTGAGTGCCGGTAGTGAGCAGGAAGCTTGGTTTCCTTCCCTCAGTGTCAGACCTCATCAAACCCTGCAGGCCAGGTGTTTAGAACTATAGCGGGCACACACTTCCCTCCAGTAACGAGCTTCACTAATTATTTTCACATTCATTATTTATCATGTTTATATGTTTTTGGCACTACATGTCCACTGTGTTCGAATGTTTTGGTGTCTCAGGGCTGCAGCATGAAGCGTTGTCTCGCAGTAGATGTTTGTTTATGTGTGTGCGTGTGTGTGTGTGTGTGTGTGTGTGTGTGTGTGTGTGTGTGTGTGTGTGTGTGCCGCGCGGTGTGTGTGTGTGTGTGTGTGTGTGTGTGTGTGTGTGTGTGTGTGTGTGTGTGGTCAACAAAGTTGCTCAGAATGACATGACGACTTGTCAGCTGCTTGATCATTGTGGGCATCTTAGAACTGACTGGTGTACCGCTCAGTATTATTATAACATAACAGTGTGTGTTGCAGTGCTGGACTAACACATTACATGTTTTCATGTTTGTCATCCATCAGCGTTGTGCTTATAATTGAGAAACTGAAATAGGCTGTCAGTGTTTGAATGTTCTTTTAAAACATGGAGGTTAATAAGGTCTAACAACAAATTACATATTTTGCTCCCTGATAGGAGAAAATGGCTCCACATTGTTTTTCAATGTGGAATGCAAAATTGGTTGAAAATGTCACAGAAAAGTAACTGATTACTGGTAAGAAAATATAATATTCCTTTGAGAAAATTGTGTGTTTTTTGTTTTTTTTTTATATTTTTGAAGTTTGATGTAAAGCCCAAGCAATGATTGAACTAAGTTGTCTTTTTATTCTAGTAAGTCCCAATCTGTGTTTGGTTTATTTTTAATTTTTTGTACTGGTACTTTTATTTGGAAAGAGAAAAAAAAATCTGCCTCTGTAATGTCTAGATTTGTATTTGAATTATTGATTTGCACATGAAGGCATGTACTGTAAAATTTAAGTCATGATGCTGAGGGGTTTTCTTTGCTCAAGTAGCAGGGATTTTACTCCCTTGTGTTCTGCATGTGGGTTTGATGTTTTTGGAAAATGTATCAGTCAGTCCAGTTGCAGACTCATTTATACAGGTGATTTCTCAGGCACAGTGCATTAGTTTAATACATTTTCATATGAGCTGTTACATTTTTAAAAATATGATGAATTTCATCCAGATCTGATAGCACACCTCATTCTTCAGGTTTTAACCTTTTTAAAACAATGAAGTGGAATGGGGGACCTGAGTATTAAATCTGATGTTTGTTCTACTGAGGTTCACACAACATTAAGACAAACATATTTCATTCTACAGCACAGTGGTTTTTCAGCAACGCAGACAAGTCTTTGCAGGCACCTGGAGTGTATCAACCGTTTCATCAGTTTGAAGTTTTGTTTTCACTCCTGTTGAAGTGTGTTTTTTTTTTCACCACAATATGCCAGCTTCATTTGTTTGACTTTTGAAGCATTTAATAAAGAGGCTCTCAGTTTTTAAATATTGATATGTATGTTTTGTTTTGCTTTTACTGTAGCTGTTTCCACCATTGTGCCAACACAACTCACTAATGGGTTTCATTGGAAGAAGTGTTAACAGAGAGCTTCCTGGTTAAGTTATAATTGTAAAAAAAAAAAAAGTATTGTGTGCACATCCTGTCTGGTATTTAGGTCACGTGGGTGATAATAGATTCACTGACAGACTAATGGAAATTTAGGATTAAAGCTCCCAAAATGTTACTCGACTGAAAATAGGTGACATTTAAAGCTTATTGGGTCCTCAACAGACAAATGGCCAATGTGACAAAGGACATGCTACTGCATAAATAAGCACAAAATGATTACATTCTGTTGATATCATTGTCAAGTAAGCAAACTACAACCCTTTAGATACAGTATCACAAATTGAAATAGTTTCAAAGTTATGTTAACCTTCTTCAGGCCAATGGAGTTTTGGCAGCTTTAATCCAGTGTGTGGACTCAATTTTTTTCTCCTAAGATTAAAAAAGTGCAATATTAAAAATGGATTTTATCTGTTCAATTATTGTAAGCAGATGTGTTACACTGCTTTATTTCAATGAGACTGTTCAACAGCCTATTTAATGGCAGGATTGTCCCATCTCCCACCTCTAGATGGCACCAGATCGCCAGAAGTTCAACTTCTGAAATGAAAGGAAAAAAAAGGCCCAGACAGAAAAGGTAATGTTACAGCAAGGCATAAGTTTGCATATGGACGGTGGGGACATGTCCCTACCAATATTTTGGGAAGACAGAATTGTCTCAACCAATATGTAAGTGAACTCCTTCACCATATGTTTCATATTATCATATTAGATCATACCAATAATGCCCACTGAGAGGCTACGTCTCCAATACAACCGATTTAGGCATGCTATGACGTTTTTATAACTTATTATATTATGCCTTTTTTTATGCCTTACTATACTATGACTTCCTGGGGGTGGGGCCTTTTTGTGTGGAGTTTGCATGTTCTCCCTGTGACTGCGTGGGTTGTCTCCTTGTACTCCGACTTCCTCCCACAGTCCAAATACATGCACATTAGGTGAATTGGCAACTCTGACATTTTTATGCCTGGCTATGAAGTTTTTTTTTTTTTGCCTTACTATGCTATGACTGTTTATGCCTAACTATACTATGACTTCCCAGAACTGGGGCATTTCTGTGTAGGGTTTATGCCCTAAGCCTACTACACTATGACCTTTTATGATTTACAGTACTATGACATTTTTATGCCTTATTTTACTATGACTTTTTATGGCTTTTTATGTGTTACTATCCTATGACATTTTTTATGCCTTACTATAGTATGATGGTTTTTTGGTCAAAATACTATGACATTTATATGACTTTCTTACTATACTATGACGTTTTCATGACTTTTTATGCCTTTCTGAAAAGACGATTTCTTATGTTTGGTCTTTTGCTCTCCAATGTGTGTGACAAGCTGATGATGATCTGGATATTTTCACATCAGTGGGGCCTCTTAGTTGTTGCACATTTTTCTTCAGACCTCCTGAGATCATTCTCCATCTGTGGGGCTCTAACCATATAAGCAAACACCAACATTCATCAATTTAACCAGGACTTCCAGATATGTCCTAAAAGCCTTGTTGTCCTACACATATATACAGTCAAGCATCACTTATATTCTGAAGTCAAAGTTATATGCATGTAAAACAATTCATACTGTACAATATTCTATGTGTTACTATACTATGACAAATTATATTCCTTACAATACGATGACTTTCTATGCCTTACTCTTCTATGACATCATCTGACTTTTCATGCCATGATGTTTTTGACTTTTCATGCCTTACTTTACTATTACGTTTTTATGACTTTTTATGCCTTACTATACTATGTCGTTTTTATGCCTTACTATACTAAGTTGTTTTTGTCTTTTTATGCCTTACTATACTAAGTTGTTTTTGACTTTTCATGCCTTACTTTACTATGTTATTTTTATGACTTTTTATGCCTTACTATACTATGACGTTTTTATGACTTTTTATGACTTACTATACTATGACGTTTTTATGCCTTACTATATTATGTTATTTTTATGACTTTTTATGACTTACTAAACTATGAAGTTTTTATGACTTTTTATGACTTACTGTACTATGACATTTTATGACTGTTTATGCCTAACTATACTATGTCGTTTTTATGCCTTACTATACTATGTTGTTTTTATGACTTTTTATGCCTTTTTATGACTTACTATGCTATGACATTTTTATGCCTTACTATACTATGACGTTTTTATGACTTTTCATGACTTACTATACTATGATGTTTTTATACCTTGTTATACTATGTTCTTTTTTTTTTTATTTTTAAGTCCTACTATACTATGATCGTTTTTGGGTTAATATACTATGATGATTTTATGACTTTTCATGCCTTACTATACTATGACGTTTTTATGACTTTTTATGACTTACTATACTATGATGTTTTTATGCCTTACTATACTATGTTGTTTTTATGCCTTACTATACTAAGTTGTTTTTGACTTTTTATGCCTTACTATACTATGACGTTTATAGAACTTTTTATGTCTTTCTGTACTATGAAATTTTTATGACTTTTGATGCCTTACTGTCCCGTTGTTTTAATAAATTTTTATGTCTTACTATACCGCGTCGTTTTTATGACTTTTTATGTCTTACTATACTATGTCGTTTTTATGAATTTTTATGCCTCACTATACTATGATGTTTTTATACCTTATTATACTATGTCCTTTTTTTTTAATTTTTAAGACCTACTATACTATGATCGTTTTTGGGTTCATATACTGTGACGATTTTATGACTTTTTATGCCTTACTATACTATGACGATTTTAAGACTTTTTATGCCTTACTATACTATGATGTTTTTATGACTTTCATGCCTTACTTTACTATGATGTTTTTATGACTTTTTATGCCTTACTATACTATATTATTTTTATGACTTTTTATGCCTTACTATACTGTCGTTTTTATGCCTTACTATACTATGTCGTTTTTATGCCTTATTATACTATGTTCTTTTTTTTTAATTTTTAAGTCCTACTATACTATGATCGTTTTTGGGCTAATATACTATGATGTTTTATGACTTTTCATGCCTTACTATACTATGACGTTTTTATGACTTTTTATGACTTACTATACTATGATGTTTTATGACTTTTTATGACTTACTATACTATGTTATTTTTATGACTTTTTATGCCTTACTATACAATGTTATTTTTATGACTTTTTATGACTTACTATATTATGATGTTTTCATGACTTTTTATGACTTTCTATACTATGACATTTTATGACTTTTTATGCCTAACTATACTATGTCGTTTTTATGCCTTACTATACCATGATGTTTTTATGACTTTTTATGCCTTACTATATTATGAAGTTTTTATGACTTTTCATTCCTTACTATACTATGACGTTTTTATGACTTTTCATGCCTTACTATACTATGACGTTTTTATGACTTTTTATGACTTACTATACTATGATGTTTTATGACTTTTTATGCCTTACTATCCTATGTCGTTTTTATGCCTTACTATACTATGTTGTTTTTATGCCTTACTATACTATGTTGTTTTTATGACTTTTTATGCCTTACTATACTATGACATTTTTATGACTTTTTATGCCTTACTATACTATGACGTTTTTATGACTTTTTATGACTTACTATACTATGAGGTTTTTATGA